CTTCCACTGGGGCTGGGTAGGGGTAGGCTGTGCAGTCCTGGTGCCTATAGCTACTGTTGGGTCTAAGTCGCCCTCTGAGGAATAGTGTGATTGTCCTGAGTGCGTGTACCACTGAGGTAGGATAGTAGGTATAGGGGGTGCGTTAGGAGAATTGAAGTGAGGCAGGGTAGGGAGGTAGTCCTACCGTCGCGCATCAAGGTACCCACGAGCTGGTTGAGCTGGAATAGTACCAGGAAGGTGTCCCCTCAGATATCGGAATAGGTGGGAGCCATGAGGCGACACCTGGCGGGGCGTGTGGTCCGTAATTGGCGCCAATGGAATACCACCAACTCAGGACAAACCTCCCCATGAGAACTTCCGATTCGGTTGTCAGGAATACTAATACTGGGTAGGTTGCCTACTGGGAAGTCTCCCGCCGGCGCTCCAATGACAGTACCCACCTGGGTCGATACCCGACCTCTACAACAACCTGGGCTGTGAAAAAAAAAAAAAAAAAAAAAACTTTGTCAAAACACATTCCTTTATATTCCAAAAACATAATGGGAGGCCGGGGTCCTCGCAATTCAACCCGGAGTTATCCCGGCAGCATCAGCCGGTTTAGCTTAAATTTCAACCAATTTCCCTGTTAAACCACCAGTACTTGGCCCAGCTATTGAAGCCGAGCCTGAATATGCCCTGCGCGCCAACTTTTGCCGAGCCTGCGGGGAGTGGGAAAAAATACGGGACATCTGCTGCTGCAAGCAGGTACCGCCCCTTCCTTTAGACCTGCTGCCAGCAGATGGAACGCAAACAGGCCGTCGTTTTCTTGTTTCCACTCACGCATTCAATGCTCCCGTGAAGGATCTTCTTCCCAAAAAAAAAAGCCAAAAAAAAAAAAGAGAGAAAAGTGAACGCCGTGCAGCAGTGAAGCCAGATACATGCGTCGAAGTTGCAACGTTACACTGCCTCTGGGACCTGAGGCAATGAATGCTCCCCGTCTCTCACCGGGAGCAACTGCAGAAACAGCCAACTATCTTATTATCAAAAATAAAAAAAAAACGAAAAGGGGAAAACGGGAAACGGGAAACAGGCATCTGAATGTGATTGGCCTGAGATTCATACAATGCAGTGCAGCAGTGAAGCCAGATACATGCGTCGAAGTTGCAACGTCACACTGCCTCTGGGACCTGAGGCATTGAATGCTCCCCGTCTCTCACGGGGAGCAAGTGCAGAAACAGCCAACGATCTTTACCAAAAAAAAAAAAGAAAACGAGAAGGGGGAAACAGGAAACCAGCATCTGAACGTGATTGCCCTCAGATTCATATAACTCCGTGCAGAAGTGAAGCCAGATACATTCTTTCCCCCCCCCAAAAAAAAAATGAAAAGAAAGGAAATCAACCATCTATCTTTATTTTCTCCTCTTCCGTTTTCTTTTTTGTTTTTTTGCCTCCTTGCTACCACTGTCCGCGCGTTTCCACATAGCACACCACCAGGACATCAAGCCTCGCTGCACCACTCATGACTCGTGAAAAATTGCAAGAGTGCGTCACGAGTTGTCAGAGCCCGAAAAAGGGCTAGAGTTCGGGCCTCGCTGCACTTACTCTATCTCATGGGTACTCGTGAAGCACTCTTGCAACGCGCAAGAGTTGTGCATGAGTAGTGCAGCGACGCCCGTCACTCTAGGCGTTCGTGGGACTGCCCAGTACCAGCGTCTTCGAGTCCTGTGCAGACTGGTATCCTATGCCGATTTTGCTCTCTCCGACCGTCCTCCCGCAGCTTTCCGCCGGGCGCGTTCCGCACAGGCCTGTTTATTCCGATGGGCTCTATCGGACCGTTCGTGTGTTTGCGATGTGGTGGCGCGCAGCAATAACGCGGGGAACGCCGGTCTGCCTGCTTGCACGGAGGGGAAGGTGCGCCCCTCCGCAGTGTCATAAATCTTGGGGACGGGGCAGTGCCGCGAAGTGATGACGGGCGGTGCAGCGGCGAACCCGCGATCAGCCAGTGTGGACGCGATTGCTCAGTCTGCCCCAGATCTTCGTGTTCGGCCATCACCGTAGAGAGAGAGAGAGAGAGAGAGAGAGAGAGAGAGAGAGAGAGAGAGAGAGAGAGAGAGAGAGAGAGAGAGAGAGAGAGAG